TCATGGATCTTGAAACAGATCGATTACTAAATTTTGGAAATTTAAGACAATACAAAGATGTATGCACAGTAAGTGAGTCCACTCATAACTTTGATCTCCACCAGTTTGTTGGCTTCACATCCAGTCTTCTACGGTCGTTCAAAGCAGGCTTTGGAGAATTTCGAGAGCACACTGGCCTTAGTAAGTTCATCACCCATCCAACCGAATTTTCACTGAACACAGCCGACCTACGTTATATTCCTGGCCTCTCCATTAGAGCTTTCTAAGAAGAATTGGCTGACCTTAAGGCCTCAGAAATGTGGGTGAATAAGTTAAAGTCACTCAGTTAAGATTTGGAAATAATCGCACGACATAAAGCGGAGTTGGCAAGCAAACACATGTTGACCGAAATTAAAAAAAAAATTCAACCCGAAGGCCAGCTATTAATCAAAACTTGGAACACGCTTCTGGTCACATACCACACACTACAGCGCGTGAGTATTGCTGTATTGGCCCTGTTTGGATTTACGTATGCATGTGAGCAGTCATTCCCACATCTTAAATACATCAAGTCCACAATAAGATCACGTCGAACGGATGAAAGCCTCAACGCTTGCATGAAGCTTAACTTCACCAAATACCGACCAGACTATTAAACCCTCAGCGAATCCATTCAACGCCAGAAGTCCCATAAACAATGAGTATTATAAGAACATTATTCAAAAGAATAAATTCAGATGCTTATTATACTTGCATTTAATAGAATTCCATTTTAAAATATTTTATATGGCTCTTTCTGAAATATATTTCCAAATATTTGCTTTCTTGGCTCTGTGAGTTAAAAATGTCGCCGACCCCTGCCCTAGGGTATGTGTGGTGATTTGGGACAGTGGGTCGTCTTTCCGCTCCGCTAGTTTCTGTTCCACTTTTCGCGAGCTAAGCTGTCATCTAGTCTACCCGTAGAATGGCAAGAAAATTCGCGACCTGGTATTGGATAAGCAGCTGATCTCCTATCTCTAGTCAGTGTTTTAATTGCATGATCCGCGAACGCATGTTAGCTGTCAAAAAGATGGGCAATAACCAGACCACTCTCTACAGCGATACATTCCGTAGCTTCTGATATATTCTCTATGTACGTTAGCGGATGTCAACGTGCAATTTTGATTTCCCTCATTTTATTCCCCGTGGGCGCGTATGGAGACAGCGGCTGTCGAAGTTGTTCGGGTATTCATTGCTTGTCATTTGGTTCCGATAATGCCGTCTTTCTCGCACTCGTCTCTTAGCTTCACTGCTTCTGCTTGTGAGACGATAACATGCAATTATTTTAGTCTATTTTTTTTCTTACACAATCGGAATATTTCATTCAAATTTAGCTGCAAAGTGAGCTTTAGTTATATTTCTTCAGAAACTTTAGATTCCAAAATCTCCATAAAATATATTTACCCCCTTTTCCCCAACTTTCGTGATTTAATCATCCATGCAGTACGTAAATTTTAATTTCGTCTCTCACGGTCCTAATGGGACATCAACTACTTCCTACAAACCGCACTGCAATTTTCAAACTGCATTCATGTTCAGGTTATATCTTGTTTTATTTCCTTGATTTTCTGTCAGTTAAAACGAGACCATACCTCCAGACGTCGTATACAATTTCTCCAGTTAGTACGCACTCCGAAAATGCCATCCATCCGGTCCGAACTCCAATTCTTGTGCAAGTCTTGTATTTAAATAATAAGTGATTGAGTAATTATCATCGGTGGCTTAGGCCGGGCTGCATCATTGGCTTGTGAATCCGCCTACCACAGAGTTAATTTAATTAGCCAGATTGGAGAGAAGGAGGAGGATGTAAACTCGTCGGCTGTGGACAACGGCGACATAGTGGATCCGGAAAAACAGAGTAGAAGAAGCGAATTTCAAATTACTCAGAAGACGGGCTTCAAACTGCTTGTAATTGAGTGAGGGGGTTGGCGGTGGTGGGGTACGCACTAGGGGTAGTCGAACTCCACCTCAGCGGTAGACCATCCGACGCCAATCTGTGCATAAGCCAAAACAAAACTGGACTTAACAAATAAAATGCTGTATCCAAAACTGCAACTGAGCTATGCGCTATAACTGTTTCTCAAATGTTTGCAAGAACATTCGCGAGTGATATTTTTGCTACCCATTAGTCTGAGCAGCAGTTAATTTGCCATTTTGGATATGCTTCGACGTCTGAATAGCCCTGATGGATGCCGCCATTGCGGCAATCATACCTGAAATGGTGAGTGTTTTTCTCACAGATAAGTTGAGTGATGGCCAGTCGCATTCGGATTAACGTTGCCCATCACTGTGAAGGGAGGTTTTTTTCTGTGCTCTGCATTTAACCTATAGCGTGTTGTTTACGTTTTCATCTGGATAGGTTTATTAACAAATGGGAATTTACAACAATTAGTTAGGACTTAACAATAGTGTAGATTTTCTCCTAATATTGGCTAGTGAATCTGCATTCTTTCCTGAGGGTAGTTGGGTGACGCCCTAAGTTGTTAAGAACGTTGTCTGAAAAAAACTGTAATCCTCGTGAATAGAAGTACACTGCAATACAAATGGCATTATACAAAATTTCAGGAAACCATAATATTCTTGCATCATGACCCTCGCGGAAACCCTAACCCAATTTGAAATATTCGGCGGCCTTAGTGGGATTCGGACTCAGGCCAGTATTTGGAAGGCTTAAGTGCAGTCAGCACTCTAGTCAACTTAGCTACGAGGCCCTCAACGTGAGCTGGCCAGTCCACCAATTCTGATACAGCGAGTTTCCTATCCAAACAGGATTTCCTAAGCAATCGATATAGAATCCAGGAGGTGACTACAAAGCACACTTAGTTAGTAGTATGTGCTAACGGTTCCCAATGCATATTCTGAGGTGACATGCATACTAGACAGTTTCTATCTAACAAAATGAGATGGCCTGACGTTGTTTGTCAGACAGATTATTGACAACTTCTTATAGCACATGTAGCTTGCGTAGGATTAAGAGATCAAGGTTTATGACTTAGGATCGCAGAACATTAGCCTGACCACGTCAGGATGTCCACCTATATTCCCATAAATTGTTAACCACACTTGTGAAATACCTTCACACTTAGGATGGTTAGCTAAAGTAGAGTTATACCGAGCACCATACTTTCAAGATACTACCATTAAAAAGGAATAACGGAATTTGAAGACATTCTGGACCACCTAGAGAAATCATACTCCATATAAAAGGACGGTCCACTCAGCGCGAATTAATTTAAATTCATTTCTGATGTGTGTCTCTCTCTCTTTAATTGTTTTTCATAGTTGATGCAGATCGTATTGTTGGCAAGGACAAGGGAGATTGGAATGGCCGATTGCGGCTTATTAGCAGTCGTCAGCCAGTCACACGCGCCAACCCCAAGTGGCGCACCACCCGGGACTCGAACTCGCGGCGTTTTGATCAAAGTCGAGCACTCTAACCATTGAATCACGAGCTCATTTTCTTGCAGGTTTAGGTGATTAGACATTGACATGCTTTGAAGAACGTTCACGCACCGCTAACGGAACTCAATTGTCCCGCTCTGTTTTGAGCCTTATTTCTCAGTATTACTAGTATTATGAAATTTGATATCGTACAAGAGCATCTCTGGCCGTTTCTCTGTGCTTCTTCTGAAGTGTATGACACGATCCACAGCCATTTCATAACTTTAAGAGGCTTATATGGTATACTCTTAGGGGCCTAGAAGAATACTTGTTTACTTCCTAAGAAATTATGCACTTTGGTGACTATAAACCTACAGAGCAACCCATCCTGCAGATCTAACTCAAAATTGTTTATTATTAAAGAACGGTTTGAATATACCTTGGTTCCAAGTATGCCATTACTAAGAATACGAGATTTTTAACCAAATGCATTTATGCGAATAATTTATATGTTAAATATGGTTGACTGTTAAAGGTGATCGAATATCGATGAAACACTAGCAACGGAGGCAACCGAAGATAGGCAAAAATCAAAGCCGGAATCGTCGTGACAGTTCAAATATTTTGCTGTTGTCCTTAAACAAAATATTTGACTATAACTAAAATCACATAGCAGTAACGTAAGTACTGCGCTTCTTCAAGCTTGCTTTAAGACTTAATATACATCTATCACCCATTGTACAATCAGTCCGTATTTGCTCCTGAGTGTTAAATCTTGGTCTACAAAACGATATAAGCCTCCCATGGGAAGAATTAATGTGACTGCTTGTTTGTCCCATTGCAATTTATATTGAATACCTACACAAATTTCTCCCATGTTATATAAAGAAAATCAAATTTTTCCCTCCCCATGTGGTTATTAATTTGTGCACGGGCTATTAATTATCCGTCCATAATTAAAGTGAATGAGGATTCATGCAGGTCTTATTCATTTGTGCTCAAGCAATGCTCACGTCTTTCCGTATTTTTTACCAATCTCCGTATTTCATTCAATCTACGGAAGGCAGAATTGGAAGCGTGAATTGCCTGCAAATTAAGAATTTATTTGACGATTTACAAACGTTTTCGTTTCTCTGGACTGTATAGTTAAAAAAAACACTGAGGAGAACCATTTTTATGCAATCACAATGTCAATAAGGATATTATCAATGAAAGTCTTAACGCAACTACTAAACCCGAATTGGGTGTAAATCAGCCCCAGAAAAGTTTTCGAGAAGTGGCTTAGTTTTAAAAGATGGTGACCTCCTATTGGATGCGTCAGTGGAAAGTTAGTAATGGCCAACTGAAACAGTTGGATGAAGAATATCGGACCTTCCGGTTGCTGCCGGCGCTCAAGAGTAAGTCCCAGGGCATGGCCGAGTCACATAACAGATCGACTCTTGCCTCTATAGTAATCCAGGTTGAAACCGACAAAATTACGAACCCGTGAGTCCATGATCAAAGGGTCCGAGATCAACTCACAGGAACTGAAAGACGTCCATTTGTTTATGACTGGCTGTTGATGACTACTAACCCAGAAATGGGAGTTTCAGTTGTCCTTGTCTTTTTTATCGGTAATGTTTATATGGGTATCAGAGCACTGAGCTAAAACTCACGGTAATATGCTGAAAATATTTTGCAGAGACCATATACTTATTCACACTCTGCCAATTACTTTGCGAAACATTTAGGCACCAAGATGCTCCCATGCATATTGCTGGGCTTATCGCAGGGGGTTAAGCGAGTTGAACCCAGCAACTGCGATCTTCAGACTATGTTTACTTAGTAGAGAAGAATTCGGTAAAGGCCAGAGTAGAAGAAAATGCATATTGTGTACACAGAGGAACGGAGAATAGATGGAGGAAATCTGACTTGGGAGAA